CACAAATGGCCACTCGAAGAGTGGATCCGTAGAAATCGGTGTCAAACTTATGCAGAATATATGCTTCGAGGGATCGGATGGTGTTATTGTACTGTGGATTCCAACCCAGACTACAGACCATCCCATAGACAGGCGGTCGGGACTCGTGGGCAGCGGTGGTGTCGACGACACCATTGGACACTTGCGGTGCTGTGGCTGTCGTCGTGGGAACCAATTGGCAGAAGCCGTAGTAAATCCCGCTCTCGAGTTGAGTGCCGATGGCTTTGACGACCTCCGGGTCGACATTAGCGGTGGGAATACCCAACTCTTTGCTCCCGCGGCCGAAGCCGTGCACCACTTCGCCCGTCACCACAAATGGTTCCGCCAGACGTCGACACTCTTCTGTGGCACTCATTGTTTCATTGGACGGCTCTTTGATCACTGAAATCAATGGCAATCGCAATGAATACAGAGGTATATAAACCATGAGATGATAATTCAATGACAGACCTGTTTATCACCCGAAAAGTTATCACTTTATAACACAAACACACAATATCTTCGGCGTTCAGAGACTGTGGTAAAGGATTATCACATAATCACCGGTTGTTATCAATCAATAAATCTATGAATTAATTAAATAATAAATTAATTGTCTGTAAAATGAGATGACATTTGAAGCCATAAGTATTGACACGTTTTCAGTCAATAATATTTATCATGTGTTTTGCTTTCGGTTGCTATGAAAACGTATACACATTGCAGCCAATAGTGTGCACCCAATACGCGTGCGCGCAATCATTGGTCGTATTAATCACCGCAACTGATCCAGTGGTTAATGAATGGCACGATTCTTGTGTCCAGAAATGGCCATCAATTTCACCGACAAAATATTTTTACAGAATTAGTCACGTGTTTAGATGTGTTCCCAATTTTGAGAATAAAAACTTTTTACCAAAAATTGTTTGAAAAGTTTTGGTCTTAAAAATAAGTCAAAATATACTGTAGTTTGAAGTTTTGGTTCAAATTAATTGATAATCATTTTGTTTTAATAGTTTTTTTATTTAATTTATCAAATAATAGCATAAAATTTTCATAAATTTTTCGTTATATAATTGTGAATATCATTAATCATACAATTGTATCACTATTTGAACGCAAAAACTGGTGACCAGAGTCTGGCCTTTAACATTTAACCACAACACATATTTTACATACACCTCTACAACAGTCCGAACGATTTCGTTCATGTAAGACAGTGAGGTCTGAAGCACAGGGACTCATAGATGGCTCTCATTCAAAAGTCGAGGCAACACTTACTGACATAAGCGGGTGTGAGAGTCATGTGATGTTTGAGTATGTGTGAGAGATTGGGCAATACATAACTAACGCAAATAATTGTCACACTATTAAATTGCTAATTAATAACAATTACATTAAATTTCATCATTGAATAATATATACATCAAGCGT